ACCGCTGTGTCACAGGCACCGCTGTGTCACAGGCGCCGCTGTGTCACAGGCGCCGCTGTGTCACAGGCACCGCTGTGTCACAGGCGCCGCTGTGTCACAGGCACCGCTGTGTCACAGGCGCCGCTGTGTCACAGGCGCCGCTGTGTCACAGGCGCCGCTGTGTCACAGGCACCGCTGTGTCACAGGCGCCGCTGTGTCACAGGCGCCGCTGTGTCACAGGCGCCGCTGTGTCACAGGCGCCGCTGTGTCACAGGCACCGCTGTGTCACAGGCGCCGCTGTGTCACAGGCGCCGCTGTGTCACAGGCGCCGCTGTGTCACAGGCACCGCTGTGTCACAGGCGCCGCTGTGTCACAGGCACCGCTGTGTCACAGGCGCCGCTGTGTCACAGGCACCGCTGTGTCACAGGCGCCGCTGGTCACAGGCACCGCTGTGTCACAGGCGCCGCTGTGTCACAGGCACCGCTGTGTCATAGGCGTCGCTGTGTCACAGGCACCGCTGTGTCACAGGCGCCGCTGTGTCACAGGCGCCGCTGTGTCACAGGCGCCAGGGTGACCACGATGAGGACACAGATAATATGGACACCAGCGGACACCAGCGGACACCACCGGACACCAACTGACACCAGCGGACACCAGTGGACACCAGCGGACACCAACTGACACCAGCGGACACCAGTGGACACCAGCGGACACCAACTGACACCAGCGGACACCAGTGGACACCAGCGGACACCAGCGGACACCAACTGACACCAGCGGACACCAGTGGACACCAGAGGACACCAGTGGACACCAGCGGACACCAGCGGACACCAGCGGACACCAGCGGACACAACGGACACCAGCGGAAACCAGTGGACACCAGCGGACACCAGCGGACACCAACTGACACCAGCGGACACCAGTGGACACAGCGGACACCAACTGACACCAGCGGACACCAGTGGACACCAGCGGACACCAACTGACACCAGCGGACACCAGTGGACACCAGCGGACACCAGCGGACACCAACTGACACCAGCGGACACCAGTGGACACCAGCGGACACCAGTGGACACCAGCGGACACCAGCGGACACCAGCGGACACCAACGGACACCAGTGGACACCAGTGGACACCAGCGGACACCAGCTGATACCAGTGGACACCAGTGGACACCAAATGACACCACCGGACACCAGCGGACACCAGCGGACACCAGTGGACACCAACTGACACCATCGGACACCAGTGGACACCAACTGACACCACCGGACACCAGCGGACACCAGTGGACACCAACTGACACCACCGGACACCAGTGGACACCAGCGGACACCAAATGACACCACCGGACACCAGCGGACACCAGCGGACACAAGCGGACACCAGCGGACACCAGTGGACACCAGCGGACACCAGTGGACACCAGCGGACACCAACTGACACCAGCGGACACCAGCGGACAACAGTGGACACCAGCGGACAACAGTGGACACCAGCTGACACCAAATGACACCAGCGGACACCAGCGGACACCAGCGGACACCAGCGGACACCAGCGGACACCAGCGGACACCAGCGGACACCAGCGGACACCAGCGGACACCAGTGGACACCAGTGGACACCAGCGGACACCAAATGACACCACCGGACACCAGCGGACACCAGCGGACACCAGTGGACACCAGCGGACACCAGTGGACACCAGCGGACACCAACTGACACCAGCGGACACCAGCGGACACCAGTGGACACCAGCGGACACCAGCGGACACCAGCGGACACCAGTGGACACCAGCGGACACCAGTGGACACCAGCGGACACCAGTGGACACCAGCGGACACCAGCTGATACCAGTGGACACCAACTGACACCAGCGGACACCAGCGGACAACAGTGGACACCAGCTGACACCAGCGGACACCAAATGACACCAGCGGACACCAGCGGACAACAGTGGACACCAGCGGACAACAGTGGACACCGGTGGACACCAGCTGACACCAACGGACACCAGTGGACACCAGCTGACACCAGCGGACACCACCGGACACCAGCGGACACCAGTGGACACCAGCGGACACCAGCGGACACCAGCGGACACCAGCGGACACCAGTGGACACCAGCGGACACCAGTGGACACCAGCGGACACCAGCTGATACCAGTGGACACCAACTGACACCAGCGGACAACAGTGGACACCAGCTGACACCAGTGGACACCAACTGACACCAGCGGACACCAGTGGACACCAGTGGACACCAACGGACACCAACTGACACCAGCGGACAACAGTGGACACCAGCGGACAACAGTGGACACCAGCGGACACCAACTGACAACAGTGAACTCCAGTGGACACCAGTGGACACCAGCGGACAACAGTGGACACCAGCGGACATCGGCTGACAACAGTGAACTCCAGCGGACACCAGCGGACATCGGCGGAAACCAGCTGACAACAGTGAACTCCAGCGGACACCAGTGGACACCAGCGGACACCATTGGACACCAGTGGGCACCAGCGGACACCAGCGGACACCAGTGGACACCAGCGGGCACCAGCGGACACCAGCGGACACCAGTGAACACCAGCGGACCCCAGTGGACACCAGCGGACACCAGTGGACATCAGCTGACACCAGCTAACACCAGTAGACACCAGCGGACACCATTAGACACCAGTGGACACCAGCGGACATCAGCGGACACCAGCGGACACCAGCTGACACCAACGGACACCAGTGGACACCAGTGAACACCAGCGGACACCAGCGGACACCAGCGGACACCAGTGGACACCAGCGGACACCAGCTGACACCAACGGACACCAGTGGACACCAGTGGACACCAGCGGACACCAGCTGACACCAACGGACACCAGTGGACACCAGTGAACACCAGCGGACACCAGCTGACACCAACGGACACCAGTGGACACCAGCGGACACCAGTGGACACCAGTGGACACCAGCGGACACCAGTGGACACCAGCTAACACCAGCGGACACCAGTGAACACCAGCAGACACCAGTGAACACCAGCAGACACCAGTGGACACCTGCGGACACCAGCGGACACCAGTGAACACCAGCGGACACCAGTGAACACCAGTGGACATCAGCAGACACCAGTGGACACCACCTAACACCAGCGGACACCAGTGAACACCAGCAGACACCAGTGAACACCAGCAGACACCAGTGGACACCTGCGGACACCAGCGGACACCAGTGGACACCAGCAGGCACCAGGGGACACCAGCGGGCACCAGGGGACACCAGTGGACACCAGCAGACACCAGTGGACACCTGCGGACACCAGTGGACACCAGTGGACACAATAATACAGCTACATAGCACATCTAGCCGCTACCACACAAGGGTTTGAATACTCTCAGAGATGAAAGTGTTGAGTGCTCAACACATAGCAACAAAGTGATTGTTGGTGGCTATGTGGTTGTAACTGCAGAGTGGTGGTGGGGGTGGTGGTGGTGATGGTTGTGGTGGGGGTGGTGGTGGTGGTCTTGGCGGTGGGGGTGGTGGTGGTTGTGGTGTGGTGGTGGTGGGTGTGGTGGTGGTAGGTGTGGTGGTTGTGGTGGTGGTGGGGGTAGTGATGGTGGGTGTGGTGGTGGTGAGTAGTGGAACCCGGGCCTACGACCCCTATTTTGATTTTTTCCCAAGCCGGTCGTAGGCCCCTGAGTTTTCTCAAATTTTCTTTCATAGCTGGTCGTAGGCCCCAGGGTTTTCTCGAATTTTTTTTCATGGCCGGCTGTAGGCCCCAGGGTTTTCTCGAAATTTCTTTCATGGCCGGTCGTAGGCCCCTGGGTTTTCTCGAATTTTCTTTCATAGCCGGTCATAGGCCCCTGCCATTTTCGTAGGGGATTAAACTGCCGCCTCCAGTCATCCCAAAATTTCGTTAGCTCAGTGACCCTGCACAGGCACGTTAAAGGGGATTTAAAAGCCGGTCGTAGGCCCCTGGGTTTTCTCGAATTTTCTTTCATAGCCGGTCGTAGGCCCCTGGGTTTTCTCGAATTTTCTTTCATGGCCGGTCGTAGGCCCCAGGGTTTTCTCGAAAAAAATTTCATGGCCGGCCGTAGGCCCAAGGGTTTTCTCGAATTTTCTTTCATAGCCGGTCGTAGGCCCCAGGGTTTTCTCGAATTTTCTATCATGGCCAGTCATAATCCCCGAGGTTTTCTCAAATTGTTACACCAAGCCGAACATAGTACCCTGTCATTTAAATCTCCCATTTACTTCCAATCTATGATAACCAGAACATCAGCTGATGCTATTAGATGATGAACTTCAGTAGGTCTATTATTTCCCTATTAATACCCTATTTCTTCTCCATTTATAGGCGTCAATAATTTAGCTCTATTAATATTCAGAAGGTCCTATTTATTCCCCTTACATATCAAGAATCTTTATATTTATAGTGTCTGGCAGAGGATCGTTTATTGAGCATAGGAATGAAATCCATTCATATGAAACAAAGGGGAGCAACACAGTGCAAGAACTAATGTGCATTTTCGAGTTCGCCCCTGTTACCTGTATTTACCCAGCTCTTTTCCTAAATCTAAAACCTATCCAATTTATTCCTGTTCTGTTTCATGTTGATAGGTTTAATAGGTTATTAATATCCCCCTTTACTATGACCATTCAGTCACACCTCTATCATGTCACCCCTATTTCTTCTTCGTCTTTCTAGAGAATGTAATTCGAGCTTTAACAATCTGTCTTCACAGAATGCTTATTGATCATAGGGCAAATAAAAATGAAAAACCCACTATCATCCATTTGTATGAAAACAGTCCCCTGCCAGGCGTGGTGACATAACAACAAAGGCAACTGCAGAATAAATAAGAGTATAAGCTCAAAAGCTTATAGCCAACGTGCTAAATGCGGATCCCAGGAGGTTCACACATTAGTGCGAACTCGAATAAAGAGAGGTTAGGTCCAGGACGGTTGGGTTGATGTGAAAAAAACAAAACACCTACCCAACAATATAGCTACAATATTGAACACAATTCCAAGTTTTAAAGGAGAGGGGCTGTTAGGTCCATATCCAAAACATCACTTTTCTATTAATATGGTTACAATGTTCAACAAAGAACCTAATAGGTTAGGCACAGTGCGGATAGGTTCACATCCAAAACTTCACTTTTCGAAGAAAATAGATAAAATATTCAACAAATCTCCAAGACTCTTGCAGGTTAGGCACGGGCATTTAGGTTCATATCCAAAAAACATCACTTCTCTGAGTATATGTCGTATCAGAGGTTAGGTCCAGGTTTAGATTGAATGGGTGAAAATGTGGATAAAATGGGTTTTGGCTGTGCTATGATTCACAACATTTAGGCATATTTGGTGGAAATTGTCTCCAATTTGATGGCGATAGCTTAAATTTCCGCAATTTTAATCAAATCTGCTAGGTCAGGGATAGGTAAGGCTATGTAGGGTAGGTTGGAATATGTGAAAACTTGGATAAAATGGTCTTTGGGTGAGCTATGTAACAAAACATTTTGGGTATATTTGGTAGAAATTGTCTTAAATTAGGTTGAATTTAGGTGAGTAAGCATAAATTTCATGAACTTTAATCAAATCTAGCTTGGGATATGCTAGGTTAGGTTAGGTAAGGTAGTGTAGGGTAAGATGGAATAGGTGAAAACTTGGCTGAAATGAACTTTGGCTATGCTAAGATACAAACCATTTGGGTATATTCGGTGGAAATTGGCTTAAATTAGGCTGAATTTAGGTGGGAAAGGCATAAATTTTGTCAACTTTAATCAAATTTAACTTTGAATATGCCAGATGAGGCTGGGTAGGGTTGTCTAGGACAGGTTGGAATAGGTGAAAAACTTAGCTAAAATAAGCTTTGACTGCTATGTTACAAAAATTTTTTGGGTATATTTGGTGGAAATTGTTTTAAATTAGGTCAAATTTAGGTGGGATAACTTAAATTTCGCTGACTTTAACCAAATCTAGGTTTGGATATGCTAGGTTAGGTTAGGTTAGGTAAGGTTGCGTAGAATAGGATGGAATATGAGAAAATGTAGGTAAAAATAGGCTTTGGCGATGCTATGATACACAACATTTGGATATATTGGTGGGAATTGTCTTAAATTAGGTCTAATTTTAGGTGGCATAGCTTAAATGTCGCCAACTTTAACCAAATCCAGGTTTGGATATGCTAGGTTAGGTTAGGTGAGGTTGTGTAGGGTGGGATGGAAATAGGAGAAAATGTTGGTAAAAAAAAAAAAAAAAATGGGCTTTGACAGTGATATTTGGTGGAAATTTTCTTTAATTTGGTCAAATTTAGGTGGGAATAGCTTAAATTTCGTCAACTTTAACCAAATCTAGGTTTGGATATGCTAGGTTAGGTTAGGTTGCGTAGGGTAAGAACATAAGAACATAAGAACAAAGGTAACTGCAGAAGGCCTATTGGCCCATACGAGGCAGCTCCTATCTATAACCACCCAATCCCACTCATATACATGTCCAACCCGCGCTTGAAACAATCGAGGGACCCCACCTCCACCACGTTATGCGGTAATTGGTTCCACAAATCAACAACCCTGTTACCGAACCAGTATTTACCCAAGTCTTTCCTAAATCTAAACTTATCCAATTTACACCCATTGTTTCGTGTTCTGTCTTGAGTTGATACTTTTTATACCCTATTAATATCCCCTCTGTTATGTCCATTCATCCACTTGTAAACTTCTATCATGTCACCCCTAACTCTTCGTCTTTCCAGTGAATGCAATTTAAGCTTTATTAATCTTTCTTCATATGAAAGACTTCTAATTTGGGGAATTAACTTTGTCATCCTATGCTGGACACGTTCCAGCGTAGGATGACAAGTAGGATGGAATAGGAGAAAATGTAGGTAAAAATGGGCTTTGGCATTGCTATGATACACAACATTTGGGTATGTTTCGGTGGAAATTGCCTTAAATTAGGTCAAATTTAGGTGGGGATAGCTTAAATGTTGTCAACTTTAACCAAATCCAGGTTTGGATATGCAAGGTTAGGTTAGGTGAGGTGGTGTAAGGGTAGGATGGAATAGGCGAAAATGTGGGTAAAAATGGGCTTTGGCAGTGCTGTGATACACAACATTGGGGTATATTTGGTGGAAATTGCCTTAAATTAGATCGAA